ATAGATAGATAGATAGATAGATAGATAGATAGATAGATAGATAGATAGATAAAATAAATAAAATAAAATAATAAAATAAATAAAATAAAATAAAATAATAAAATAAAATAATAAAATAATAAAATAAAATAAAATAATAAAATAAAATAATAAAATAAAATAAAATAATAAAATAAAATAAAATAAAATAAAATAAAATAAAAATTACCTGGACTTTTCTCGCACCCCCTGGAATATCGTCTCGCACCCCAGGTTGGGAACCCCTGCCTTAGAGATAAGCAAATGCTAAAGAAATTTGAATTCCATGTATGTACAATGGAACACGGTTGACTTTCAGTCTTGAGAAATGCCTGTTTCTTCTCCTGTGTGCACTTCATACATTTCATATCCCACTCTGATCTTGCCTCCTGTCTATATGCTATATAGTAATAATAATATGTCATTTGACTTCCAATCCTTTAATCCCTGCTGCAAAAGTAAGCCTGCTGCGGTAGTTTGTTTGGTTTAGTGTGTGGCAGGTGGAAAGCCAGAGCTACTCCCCAGGAGAGCCTTGGCCCCGGGGCCAGGGGAAAGAAGCCATGATGGTCTCATCTGCTGTTGTTTACAGGCAGGGGGGACCTCCAGCCTCAGCTGGACAATGCCCTGCAGGACGTGAATGACTTGTATCTCCTGCTGGAGGAGACGGAGAAGCAGGCAGTCCGCAGGGCCCTGGTGGAGGAACGGGGCCGGTTCTGCACCTTCATCGCATACCTGCAGCCAGTGGTGGTAGGTGCCTTTATTTCCAGAGTCGGTCGCAGTTTTGTAGGGACTGGGCAACCGTCCAAGGGGTTCCCCTCCCTTTGCTTGGCCAGATCTTGGCTTTTAAGCCTTGGAACAAACCGTTGGCTCTCGTTGCCCACTTGAAATGCTGCTCTCAGTCCAGTTTTGCTTGTGCCTGCCCATGTCCAGTGTCCTGCTTTCAGGCATGCAGAGTGTAGTCTCTGCAACAAAGAGAATTTATGTCCAGGGCATCCTATTGAGCTACTCCCAGGAATGCTGGAAAGGATGAAGTACCTTGCCAAACTTGGCACCCAGAATCTGAATGTGAAGAAGAGGAAGGTACCCTCTTGGCTGTTTGGGTACCAGGTGCCAACCCAGAGGGTCCAGGTCTTTCTCTCTTGGTGGGAGTTGAGGTGGAGGAGCTGAGGTGGCTTTCCTAGACTGGCCTCTTTGGTTCATCCCAGAGTGGCATCCGAGGCAATGCAGAATTAGAGACGAAGTAGGAGGTTTCTTGAAAATTCCAATTAAGAATTGATCTCAGCTTTTCCTTTGACTCCTTTGTCCAATTTTTTTTAATCTATGAGTTTTGGGATCAATATTTATTGTCTGGGAGATGCTCTGCAAGTTAAAACCTATGAGGTTTTGGGCCTTTCCCTTTTCCCCGTTGCTTTCCATGTTGAATTTGTCTTTGGGAGTCCTTCTGGCTGCTCTACCCTGCCAGCCATTCTGGGAGCAGCAGATAGGGCCAAGAGGGCCAAAGGGTGGCTGGTGGCAGCCAAATGAGCAGGCTGGGCCCACAAGGGGAGGGGGCTGCACAAGTGGGCGGGGGCAGGTGTGTGTTGGCAGATCCTTGTGTGCCTCCATTCTCCACATGGAGACTCGGGAATGGGCCAGGACAAGTTTCAGGAGGTCTTGGGAGACCCCTGCTCTTTGGGGCACCGAGGGGGACACAGTGTCTGGTGGTAGCAGCAGTCCCCCCCCCCCCAAATTCCAGATTCAAAACCAAATGGCATGCCTCTGCAAGACCCCTGCTGATGTGGCTCCAGTTCTCCTTTTCCCATCATCCTCTGACCTCCCAGAAGGTCCTGCTGGTCAGACCAGCGTTTCCTTTCTCTCAGGGTCCAGCTAGGCTGCCAGTCAACAGGACCCAACACCAGCCTCCCTTCCACTGTTGTTCTTGCATCACTGTGAGACCAGCTGCCCTCCCTCCCTCCCTCCAGAGATAAGACCGAATCTTTGGTTGAGCCCTCCTCCTCCTCCTCCTCTGTAAAAGTGTCCAGTCTCCTTGGAGGCCATCCCTTGGAGACGTTTGATGGCCCCTCTGGGTTGGGTCTCTGGGCACACAGACTTTGGGGTTAGCAAGTCACAGGATTGGGCTGACCCTCCCTATCCCAGAGTGGAGCAGCAGTATTCAGAAGGAAGGAAAAGCTTAGACATCCAGGATGCAACCAAGGAAGGAGGCTGAAAACGTACCATCACTTGCTGAAGAACTTTGAGTAGAGAAGAGGTTTGTGGCTGTTCTCCCAGCTGATGCTTCGCTTGGCCCAAGCAGACGAGGCAGAGGAGCATCTCCAGCTTTGGTGTTTGGCAACTCACTCATGAGAGCAATATTGGCACCTGTTGCGACCTTTGGTGCCAATCCCGTTTGCCATTAAGCTTTTTTGAAGGTTTGAATGTGAGCACAAACATTTAAGGTGTTTGTGGTTCTCCATAAGATTGCATAGGCAAATACCCAAATTGCCCTTATTTGTCCACTGTTCTTAATTCTGAATTTTTTCATATTTGTTTTTGGACTAAAGGGAGGAAAGTTTGCCTGGAATGATGTTTTTTTTTTTTAAATTTAATTTCAGTAATGTAACTGTAATCCCAGCAGGTTTCACATGGATTAACCTGAATTACATTTCTAATTTTTGAAATTACACAAAACCTCAGCTGGCAGATCCAGCCCTTTGTGGCTTCTGCACTGTCCGTAGCATTGTGCAGCTGAAATGTAGTAGCAGAACTCAGAGGCTCCGTAGAGATCAGGAGCAAGCAGAAAATCAAATCCCACAACAACCACAACCACTACCTCAACTACAATCACAACTACAACCAAAAATAACCACCAAACCACAGCCACAAACAATTACTATCCCTTCAAATAATTCCACAAATAATATCTCCTTACTCATCAGAGACACCATGGAACGTGAACAGAAACGTCCAAATGCCATCTTATTTGGTCTCGAAGACACCAACAAATCGGACAACATCACCAAAGTTTGCAATATCATAAGCAACTTAAATACAACAAACATCTCTCCTGAAGATATCATTGAAATAACTAGAGATGGCCCTGTGTGCAAATACAATGACGGCTCTGTGGCCCCAAGATTTTGTAGAGTTGTATGCAAAACTGAGTCCAGCAAACGCATATTCATTCATACAATAAACGCCATTGCAAAAACCAATCCCAATCTCAAAAAACTTCACTCAAGACCAGACTTATCCATACTGCAAAGAATCCACTCCCGTGAACTCCGCAAAGAACTCAAAAACCATCTAGACGATGGAGAAAAGGACCTATACATTGACTACTGAGCTGATTGCATCAAAAGAAAGTCACACATCCCACAACTCCGCATCCAACCCCACCCCATCCAATCCAACATCACTCAAAACTAGGCACGCACGCCCCTAACTACCTCTATTCCAACCACAACTGGCCTTAAATGCAAGGTACTCAATGCAAGAAGTCTTGTAAATAAAATACCTGAATTTCTCCTCTTACTAAATACGGCTAAATTTGACATTATATTTGTCTGTGAAACATGGCTCAACGCATCTCTCCCTGACCCCGTTACTACAGTAAGAGACTATCATGTTTACCGATCAGATTGTGAAATCTGTAGAGGAGGTGGTGTTGCTATCTTCTATAAAAAGTCTCTACATCTAAAAAACATCCAAGTTACCCAGGAGCTTGCTATTCCTGAGATCATCGTCTGTGAACTGTCCTTAAATATCACATTTTGGTTCTTACTATGTTACAGAGCCCCTGATTATGACATCGAACATGCAAACAAGCGAAATACACTACTAACATGGGCAGCATCCTGCCCACACGCTTTTATCTTTCTTGGTGACTTCAATCTACCTCACATTAACTGGACCCTTAACGAATGTACAACTGAACCCACACATGCAAACTTCTACAATGCAGTAACAAATCTGGGACTAGAACAACTAGTAACCAACAACACTAGACTTAACAACTGCCTCGATCTCATCTTCTGCAATAGTTTGAATTCAATTTATGGAATACAAATTAAAGAACCCTTTTCCAACAGTGACCACAATATGATAGACTTTTGTCTCAACATATGTCCACACAAAAATCATCACAATGACGGAACCCCCAATTATAACTTCAAAAAAGGCAACTATGATCTTATAAACAATGATCTCTCATCCCTTGATTGGCAATTTCTATTCACTGGATGCAATACTGTAGAAGACCATTACACCATATTTTTACTTAAAGTCAAAAGAGTCATCAAACGATATGTATCATTAACAACTCCCAAAACCAGAAAAAACAAATTACCCATAACAATAAGGAAGCTTCAATCCCAAAAGAAATCACTTTGGCGGAAAAACAAATCTGGTCATGTTGCCAACTTCAAAAGCCGATACAAAAATTTATGCCACCAGATAAAAACTGACTGCACCAATTATCACGTTAAACAAGAAAACCTTCTACGCACCAATTCCACTCGCGCTTTCTACAATTTTGTAAACAACAAACTAAAAGACTCAAGGTCCATTCCACCCCTGATAGGACCTAATGGTAAAGACTGCAACGACGACACCATTAAAGCCAACATCTTTAACACATTCTTTGGCTCAGTATTTGTAAACAGCAATGGATCATGACCAGTATTTCCTAGTCAAACCACAGACAACTACAATGATCTAATGCATATCGATTTTACAGAAGACAATGTTGAAAAAGCACTACGCAATCTAAAACCATCTCTATCTATTGGACCGGACGGAATGTGAGCCTACTTCTTAAAAAAGCTATCCACTGCCATAACTGAACCTCTAAGCATAATCTTTGAAAAATCTTTCAGGACCAGCTCCTTGCCTAACCTATGGTCACAAGCCACAGTCATCCCCATCTTCAAAAAGGGAGACCCCAGCCTAGTTGACAATTACAGACGAATCTCTTTATGCTGCGTCACCTGTAAAGTCATGGAATCAATTATTAACCAATCCATCATCTTCCACTTAGAAACAAACAACCTACTCTCTTATAAAAAATTTGGTTTCAGGAAAAACTCCTGTAATCTGCAACTCTTACACTGCAAAAACATATGGACTACACAACTCGATCAGGGCAAAGCAATAGACGCAATCTACATAGACTTCTGTAAAGCCTTCGATTCAGTGGTACACGACAAACTACTCCTAAAACTAAAATCTTATGGTATCTCTGGACAACTGCATTACTGGATAGAAGCATTCCTGTCAAACGGGCAACAAATGGTCAAAATTGGGAGCGTCCTATCAAATTCTGTACCTGTCAACAGTGGTGTCTCCCAAGGCAATGTTCTAGGACCAATTCTCTTCATACTCTATATAAATGATCTCTGTGATCACATTAAGAGCAACTGCGTTCTCTTCACTGATGATGTAAAGCTATTCAACACCACATACAATACTGCTACCCTTCAAAAAGACCTTGACTATGTATCAGAATGGTCAAACAAATGGCAACTTCAAATCTCAACAAATAAATGCTCTGTCCTACATATTGGCAAAAAAAATCAGAAAATAAAATACAGGCTGAATAGTCAAGACCGTGTTGATGATCCAAATTCTGTCATGGATCTTGGAGTGCTCATCTCTAATGATCTAAGTGCTAGAGCCCACTGTAACTACATAGCCAAAAAGGCATTAAGAGTTGTTAACCTAATCCTACATAGCTTTTTCTCTGGTAATATCACACTAATAACTAGAGCGTACAAAACATTTGCTAGACCAATACTCGAATACAGCTCATCAGTCTGGAACCCACATTACGTATCTGATATTAACACAGTTGAGAAAGTCCAGAAATATTTTACAAGAAGAGTTCTCCACTCCTCTACTCGTTGCAGAATACCTTATGCCACCAGATTCAAAATTCTAGACCTAGAAAACCTAAAACTACGCCGCCTTCTGTCCGATCTAAGTATAGTATATAAAATCATACATTGCAATGTCCTACCTGTCAATGAATACTTCAGCTTCAACCATAACAACACAGGAGCAAATAATAGATACAAACTCAAGGTTAATCGCACCAAACATGATTGCAGGAAATACGACTTCAGCAACAGAGTGGTCAATGTCTGGAATACTCTACCCGACTCTGTGTTTTTTTCCCCAAACCCCAAAAACTTTAACGTTAGACTGTCTACTATTGACCTCACCCCTTTCCTAAGAGGTCTGTATGGGGCGTGCATAAGTGCACCAACGTGCCTACCGTCCCTGTCCTATTGTTTCTTTTTTATTTTTTTGTTTTTTATTTTTCTTATATGTATCTATGTATTCATAACAACGTTTTTACTATTATCTTGTAAGCAATTGACAAAAAAAAAGAAGCTTGGAAGCCCCCAGATCAGATGAGAGGGTCAAAGGGTCACAGGAAACATCCTTGTCCTCAACCCGCCCTAGTGTTGCCTCTGCCAAAGAGAGGCTCCCTTTTGCTCCCTTTTACCGGACCCTGTGGGTTCTGAAGCTGAAGTAGGCACATTGGGTGACAAGGCTTCAGGGACTGCGGCCTTTCCTGGCCTAGAAAGTGGGGCTCACCTTGACCAGGGAAAGAGCAAGCTCTGGTATGTTGGGGCTGATTCAGGGCTATTGCCTGCACACGGCCAAGACTGACTCTTTCCTTTACCCTTTTGCAGAACGGAGAGATCACCATGCTGGGAGAGATCACCCACCTTCAGGGCATCATTGATGACCTAGTGGTGCTGACAGCCGATCCACATAAACTGCCAACAGCCAGTGAGCAGGTAGGGAAGCCCAAGAGTCATGTCTCATGGTGGTCCATATGCCCCTTGAGTGGAAGGGGGATCGACACAGGGCGTTGCAGCCTCCGCTTTCCTCCAGAGTCTGTGACTTAAAACTCCGGAGTGTGCCATGCTCTGCGCTCAGAGAACAGGTTCCAGTCCACTTTGAGGACTTAAAATACACCTGGGTCCCTCCCTTCCCCTCATGTCTTTACTCAGGACTGAACCTCTGCAGGCAGCCTGAGCCACGAGGCCCAGATTGCCTGCAGAGCTGCCAGCATTGATGAGTTTCTGCTGGGCAAGGCAGGGATGTGGTCATAGCAAAGCAGAACGCCCACCCAGAGCCTGGTCACCTTCAACTACTCCCGAGAAAGAACAAGTTCAAACGTGTGACTGTGTGAATCCACTGGGCTTTCCTGGGAGCCTTCCTGGACCCAGTTCCCCAGAGTGCAATCTTTGGAAATGACTTCTCCTGCCTTCACTTGCCTTTTGTGTTTGCCGATGGCTTAAACCATCAGACACAGAGCAAGAACCCTCCATGCTCGTAGCTTCTTTGAACAGAGGCAGGATTGTTATCCAGAAGGGTGATAATTTATGACCATTTAACAGTAGTATGAAGTTATGACGGCTTCTGAAAAAGTGACTCACGAGCCACCTTGAAGTTGTGACCATCCCGCCATCCCCGTAGCCACAGGATTATCATTTCGGCCCTTGACAACCAGTTTACACTTAACGACGATTGCAGCATCCTGCAGTCCTGTGGTCACAATGAGCGACCTTCCAGGCAGTTTCTGGCAAGCAGAGACAATGAGGGGGTCGAATTTGCTTATGACCATGTGATCCGCTTAACAATTGTGGTGAATCACTTAATAACCACAGTAAAAATGGTTGTAAAATTGGATCTGGTCATGTGATGACTTGCTTAATGACCACATTGCTTAGCAAGTGAAATTCTGGTCCCCACTGTGGTCATAAGTCAAGTGCCATAAGTGTGTGACTAATTGTAATAAAAACCAGTTTGGGCAAAAAGGGAGGGATGCTGATTAAAGGTGTGTCGCCTTTTAATATGTCACCTTCTAGGTCAGATAGGGGAGCCCTGGTGGCGCAGTGCTCAGTCGTGCAGCACAGTCCTAAAGGCTACTTCTGCTCACCAGGCTCCAGGTCGACTCAGCCTTCCGTCCTTCCAAGGGGGGTAAAATGAGGAGCCAGATGGTTGGGGGCAAGAGGCTGACTCTGTAAACCACTTAGAGAAGGCTGGGAACAGGGGTGGGGGGGATTCAAATTTTTTAACAACCGGTTCTGTGGGCGTGGCTTAGTTGGTGGGCGTGGCTTGGTGGTCATGTTATTGGCTGGATGTGGCCAACTCAATATCACTCACATCGAGGCACGCATCTCCTCGCCTGGCCTCTCGTGACTGTGGGGATGCTCAACAGTCGTAAGTGTGAAAAACGGTAATAAGTCACTTTTTTCAGTGCCACTGTAACTTTGAATAGTCACTCCACACAAGCAAAGTACCAGCAAAGGAGGGAAAAAAACTCCAGAGAAGTTCCTGAGACAGGAAGTCTAGCCCTGCCAAGAATGTAATAAGGATTAACGGAGAGGCAGTTTCTGTAAGCAACACCAGAATGTTTCCTTCCTGCCTTCCTTACAGGATTAGGCCTGTAATTTCTTCTAACAACCAGTTCTCCAAACTGCTTAGAATGTTAACAACCAGTTCTAGCGAATAGGTGTGAACTGGTGGAATCCCACCCCTGGCTGTGAAGCACTATGAAGTGGTATATAAGTCTAATAACTAATAACTAATAACCAGGAAGGCTGGTTGGGACCAAGGGAAAGTTAATGGTACCTTATCTAGCAAAAATCTCAGATCCAGCTTAATGTCAACTGTCCCAGCCTGGTCAGTTAGAAAAGAAAGGCCCCTGGGCCACGATTAGCCCAAGGACTACTTTACTAAAGCCGAAGTGGTTAGAGAAGAGGCAAAGCAGGATCTGGGGTTTTCCCCCTGGTTATCAGTCAATGTTCAATCAGGTGTTTGGGAAATGGTGCCTGTCTTCTTGCACCAGCTCCGCATTTTTTGGGTGCGACCTTGAGATGGCCAATGCTTCCCACTGGACGGTAGTGCTTTGTTTTGATTCCTGCCTCCCTACCCCCCACTGCTCCCTTCCCCTGTTACTGACATCAGGCTGTCAGCTTGCAATGCGTAGCTTTGCTGAATGACAACTATGTTCTTTTTTATGACAGGAAAAAAGGAACAAAATGACCAGATAAATAGCAATAGCACTTAGACTTATATGCCACTTCATAGTGCTTTCCAGCCCCCTCTAAGCTGTTTACAGAGTCAGCACATTGCCCCTAACAATCTGGGTCCTCATTTTACTCACCTCGGAAGGATGGAAAGAATTGCAAAAGAACAAAGTGGAAGAACGAGTGATGACTTCCTTTTACCAATCCACTATAGAAAGCGTCCTGACATATTGCATGACGGTGTGGTATGCTGGCTTGACAGCCGCGAATAGAAAGACATTACAGAGGGTGGTGAGCACAGCACAAAACATCGTAGGCTGTTCCCTGATACTACTACCTCGCTAGGTAGTAGTATGACCTCGCTAGGGTTCACTGCCTTAGAAGAGTGAGGAAAATCCTTAGGGACAGCTCACACCCCGGTCAGCACTTCTTCACTCTCCTACCATCAGGTAGGAGACATAGAAGCATAGCCAGCTTCACCAACAGGCTGAAGAACAGTTTCTACCTGTGGGCTGTCAGACTCCTGAACGGGAAATACTTCATGTCAACATAGTATGATAGACTTGCGGGGCCGGTGCATTGGGCAATAAGTTCACATGATGCAATAAGATAGATAGTGTGTTTGTTAGTAGGATTCACTGGATTAGGGATTTTTCTTTTTTGTCTTCACTGTGAGTTGTGTTGGGGGGGATGCACGAAGGGGGGCTCAGCCAATCTCATTGTACACATGCTGTACTCTGACAATAAAGGTTGATTTGATTTGATGGAAGGCTGAGTCAGCCTGGAGCCTGGTGAGATTCGATCTGCCAAATTGCAGGCAGCCAGCAGGCAACAGAAGGAGCCTGCAGTACTGCACTCTCACCACTGCGCCACTGCGGCTCATCAATAAAGCTGGTTTTGAAACAGTATTTCTGAAAAGAAGCTCAGAGCTGTCTGAATACGAATCCGCAGCATAAGCGTGCTCAAAAGGTCAAGTGCCACATAAGGTAGCCTCCATAGGAAGCTACTACTGAATGGATATCATCGTTGTCTTTGTCATCATCATCGCAGGTCAGTTCCAGGCTTTTGTGCTCTGGTCACACTTCACTTAATGCGACCAGGATTAATGCAGCCCCTTTAAGAAAGCCAGGCAACCAGAAAAGCAACCCGAGAAAAAGGTGGTGCTGAATCAATTCCAAGTGGGGCATCTCTTCCTTGGAGCCACGGACCGAAGGGCCCCAACATTGGAGAGCAAAGGATTGGAATAGTTTAGGAAGCTAGACTGGGTCTCTGGGTGACTCTATGTGAGTTGTTGGTTGAGGGAAATTTTGCCTGAAGGCTTGTGTTATCCGGCCCCCAGTTCAAGAGTGGTGCCTGCAAGGAGCCACAGAGACAATCAGGCTGATGTCCATCCTATGTGCCTTGGGCTTTGCTTTAAGAAAGTCCTGGTGGAACAAGGAAGCTGTGACCCTTCACCGGCAGCGTCTTGGCTGCTGTCTGGGCGAATATGGCTTGGCCAAAGGCAGGCAGAGCCTCTCTTTGGTTTGGGTGGTCTTTGCATTGCCTCTCGGGCTCTGCTTGGACGGAAAAATCTCTTAGGGCCAGAAATGCCATAAGGACCTGGCTAAAATGACTTTTTCTTGCAGGTGATCCAAGATCTGAAGGGCTCTGATTACAGCTGGTCTTACCAAACCCCTCCATCCTCCCCTAGCAGCTCAGGATCCCGCAAATCCAGCATGTGCAGTAGGTATGTTTGGGTCGGCTTTCTTTTTCCCCGCTAAGTCCGCTCAGAGCTTACGAAACTTGAGTAGGTTCAACGATACCCCAAGTGTAACCACGTCTTGGTGGCCAGAGTCCTTGTGACGTACCAATTACTTCCCAAACTGAGTTGCCATGGAATAAAATCCAAGAGCACCAGGCCTGAGCAACTGTGGCCAACAAATGGGAATGAACTTGAGCAACGGCAGTTCTCTCCGTCAGGTCAAGCAAAACATTGTCTTTGATGGTGGTGTAACATCTGTCAAATGAAAGTAGCTGGGAAAAGTTCTGCCCCAATCTTTAAGACATGTTGCTCTTGATCTCGCCCCAAAATTCTTCATATACATTAAAAGTGCTTCTGCCTTTAGCTGAGGAAAAAAAATACATTGATTCGTGTAACCTGCAGCATAATAAGTCCCCGATCAGCCTACTTTATTAATCCCAGCTGAAGAGGAGAAGCTGGAAGGCTTGTTCATGGTGGAGGAGGTGTTCTTTTGTAGTCCTTGACTCAGCTTGTCTTTGCTGCCCTCCCCCAGCATGAGCAGGGCATGTAAAGGACTGTTGGGCTTACCTTGCCTTGAGCAGCCTCTGACTCCTGCAACCAGTGTCCTCCCTGGGGCTCCCTAGATGCACAGCATCTCACCTGGTTTCACATTTTACTCCCATAGTGTGGCACAACCTGCCAACACCCGCCTGTCCAGTGTCTCATCCCACGACTCGGGCTTCATCTCGCAGGATGCAATGTTCTCCAAGCCTCCTTCACCGATGCCCTTGGACATCACCAGCCAGGTGAGCTAAAGGTGAACAAAGAATGAAGTCCAGGACAGAATTATGGCTCCAGTGACCCCTCCCCATAAAGGCAGGCAAGTGCCGTCTCCTGAAAGAAGCTGGTTGCAGCCTGAGACCCCTCCTCTCCTGTGAGCGATTCAAGGTTCTCTCCTTTCCTTGGAAATGGAGATGGAGTGTGGTTTGTCCCTGATTTGCACTGGGTTGATTCCATTATGTCCCTCGGGAAAGGATTGGACCAGTTCCCTTTTGAAGAAGAAGGTGGGCAGTGAGGGAGTCAGGGACCCTGAGCCCTGGGAGGAGGAGCTGGAACCCTCTTTGGAGCCCCTTCTTGGACTGGAGGAAGGAGAAGACATCCTTGGCTTTCCTGGCCCAATTCAAAGGCTAATGCTGGCACTCCTCCAGCAGCTCTCGAAAGGTGACCCTGGCATGAGGACATCAGCCCGGGGTGGGGTGGGGGCTTCTGGCTTCAGAGGGCTCTCAGGATCCCCCTGGTGGCTCACAGTTTGGGAGCTGGAGGTCAAGAGGAGGGAAGATCCAGCTCTCAGGAGATCTCTGTCACTGCAGGTGGAAGGGGGGAGTTTCCCTCCCCCTCACGATGGCCTTCCTCCTCCTCCTCCTCCTCCTGTAGGAGAGGCTGTCCCATTTCTCCCAGCTGCTTTCATTCCTGTCTCTGTCTTGTCCCGTCTCCTCCATCCTCTTCCCAGCCTCAGGACAGGCCAACCCCGATGAAATGCCCCAGGGTGGCATGTTGAGGGGAGCTGCTGCCACCCCACATGTCAGTCAAGCTGTAGTCTGTCTCTGCTGCTGCCGCCACCGCTGCTGCCGCCGCCATCCTGAGCCTCCCTAACCACTCCTTCTCTCCTCTTTGTGCGTGTCTGTTTGGCTGCTGCTGCTGCTGCTCCTGCCGCCGACCTCACTTGGGGCCTCCAGAAGTCCTCCAGCTCTGCATCGTCTGAAGCCTCTGAAACTTGCCAGTCTGTTAGTGAATGCAACTCCCCGACCTCGGTTACTTCTGGCTCTGCCAGTGGGCTGTATTCAGATGGCCAAAAGGTGAAGCTTGAGTCCCCCCCCCCCCGCCCCCCCCCCGCACACACACACATACTTTCTCTCCCCTATTTTATTTTGGGGCCCACCTGCACCTGGTAAAGAGTTGATGCATGGCACATTGAATGGCCTTGGCCTCCTGCCCCAAGGCTGGTTTGGTTGCTTTCTGCTTCCTATTGGCTGACCAGCTGAGGGAGCTCCATGACCAGCTGTGACCCTGGACTCCCTGGGCCTGAAGCCTTGTAGACTTCAACTGGCAGGGAGCCCACCCTACCCTCGGCAGGGTTAGCTCCTCTCTGTGAGGGCTTGGGATCCGGCCCATCTCTAGCAAGATCCTTCCCCCAGGAGGCCAGGGAAGAGCCTACCGGCCATGGGGAGGGTGCAGTCCAAGGACCCAGCAGGCACTTGCCATCCTCCAGGAGTTTGATGAGCGTCGAGCAGACCTGCCCTGCCCTGGGAGGGACCAGTTCTCCTCCCTTGGTTGCCACCCCAGGAACTTGGCAGGGGGGGGGGAAGATATTTCCAGCCTGTCCATCTTTAGAGCTGTTTCTGCCTTCAATCCAGCCACTCCGGAGTATTTCAAAGGGGAGTGAAAAAAGAAGGGAAATGGACTAGTAGAACTGATCCATGACGGGACTGACCCCCAGTTATGCCACTGAATTTTTCCCTAATGTCTTCCTAGTGCGGGGAGGAGGGAATTGGCCAGGAAGAGTCAGCCACCCTGCCATCCTACTGTCCGAAGGGGACATCACTGGTGGTTGAGCATGTGCAGAGGGCCAGGCTCACTTGCCTGGAAGACCTTAGCTGTAGTCAAGGATGGCAGGAGGCCTTTGGCACTGGACATCAGGACCAGATCAGTCACAAAGTCTCCTGCGTGTCCCTCTTCCTCAGGGGGCAGCATCCCAGTGGTGGCCTGGCCTAACCCCCCACCCCCCCACCCCTTGGTGCAGGCTGTGCTCCATGCTGGGGCCTTGGGGGCTAGAGGCCATCAGTCTGCAGACCTCCAGGGAGCAGTTGGCTTATTTATTGTTTTATTACTTTTAAGAACAGAGGGACTCTGGATAGTGTACAACAAAATATTAAAAGCATAAACACAGCATATAAAATAACAGTAAATAAAAGAGGCAAGGAATGTTTAAAAAAATAATTAAAAGGTGGCTTTTCCATGTGCTAACCAGCCCTACGGCTGCAGGCTCCCCTGAGCTTCAGGCCGCAGAGCCACGTTTTCTCTCCTTTCCGGAAGGCCAGCAGAGTTTGGAGGATCTCCCACTGAGAGGCTCCAGAATCCTCTGGCAGACGGGATCCACAGCATCCTTCCTCCTTGGCAGTTGGTCTCCCTGGATCTGGTCCTGCCTTCCAGGACCACGTCCACTCCCACCCCTGAGGCCCCCCCCCGCCCCCCCCCCCCCCTTCCAGCCTTCCACTCTTGGCAGAGGAAGCTTGGCAGCCCTTCATGGGGATCGACTTCCAGCCCCTCACCGTCTCGGGGACCTTTTGCAAAGACCCCGGAAGTGCAGGGCACTTTCCTAAATATTCAGGGGCCTCAGGAAAGGACATGATGGAAACATGATGGAAACTGCCCAAGGCTGCCATGCCCTTCACAAACACCTGGATTAAAGGGAGAATAAATCAGATACCTTTATTAAGCCACACACAAGGCCCCTGCTTATCCAGAACTGTTTTGGAGATTTCTGCTTTGCGGAACTGGGCAGAGTATCTGGGAGGGTGTTGTGGTTCGCCAGCAGCCTCTGCAGATGGCAGTGGAATCGGACAGTGGGGACGTCTGGGGGGGACTTGGACGAGGGTCCTGCATCCAATGCAGAGATGGGAGTTATGTGCTGACTTTGGAGCCTCCGGAGTCTGGCAGCAGTGAGGCAGAGGAACAAGGGGAGCCTGTTTCCAGTGCGTGTATGTGCAGAGCTGTTAGAAAGCGAGAGCAACAGACAAAAGGGGCGACTCGGGAGTAAGTCTGGGAGGTGATTGCCCCTCAAGGTATAAAGAACAGGCAAAAAATGATGAAACCTTTGCAGGAAGCAATGTCGTTCAGTTCAGATTCATTCGTGAAGCTCTTTGTACTTCAGTTGGAATTTTTTTCTAGTTCATTTGACACTTCTGTTATTGGCAGCACTTCACAGGGAAGAAAGGTGGGTGCTTATCTCAAGGTAGTGCTTGAGATTCTTTACCGGCTGGGAATGAAAATTATTCCCAGCATTGCAATAAAACAAGACTTGTTTTTAAAATAAGCGTTTGCGTAATTACGGTCTGGGTCAGAACAGAGGGATGCTGTTCCAGGGGATGCCCAGGGCGCTGGCGTAGCAGGATGGTCCTGCCAACTTGGCTTCTGGGTGCCAGCGTGGCCTCTTTGTGCCTTGATGGCGTCTCACAGGCTCAAGGGGTGCTTTGGCCCCCTCCCGTGGCCTCGCCAGTTCCCTTCCCCTCTTTCACAGCTTTATGTGTTTCAGGATTGGTCCAAGCTCCCCATCTATGAGCAGCCGGGGGGGGCAAGCGCTCTGCAGCGCAGAAAGGATCGTGTGGCAGAACCAGGCTCGGCCTCCCTGATTTATCCAGGGCTCAGCTTGGAAGACGGTCCCCGGCCTCGCCTGTCCCCCGCTTCCATTGCTGCCAAGGTACGGCTGGGCCCCAGGAAGCGCCCTTGGGCCACATCGGCTGGTCTGGGGGTTCATTTGGGGCTCTGTTTGGGCCACGGCCTGCCCAGCCCGTGATCCCAGATCCAGGCAGATTTGAGGGAGAGATCCTATGCAGCTGGTTTTCCTTCTGGGTGTTTGGATAATTGCTCGCTTCCAGTAGACAAAACAGACAGTGGGAAGTTGAGGAAGACGCTGGATCTTCCCCTTCAGTGGGCCCAATTTGAAAGTGTTTGCCTAAGAGATTTTCCAAGGAGGAGGCCTCTGCCTTCCTCGCCAGCTGGGGCTGAAGCAAGTTGCTCTCTGCAGAAGAGAGGCTGGGCAAAGGGCTCCCCCATTTAATCCTGGTCCCCAGATAAAAGATCCCAGAAGGCTCTGCAGGGTGAACAACTTAAGCAGCCAGTAAATGCAGCCTTCTGAACCTGGCACCTATCCCTGAAGCTGTGAGTTGGTGCAGAAGTAGCCAAGGAACTGGTGTGTGTGTGTGTGTGTGTGTGTGTGTGTGTGTGTGTGTGTGATGAGAATTTTGCTTGTCTTTCTGACTCCCAGTCCCACCTCAGGAGCCTTGCTGACTGCAGCCCCCTCCTCCCTGCCCCCAGGCAAGGAGCCCAGGTGGAGCCAGAGTGGAAGCAATGAGGTGGCAGCTGCAGGATGCTGGCCTCCATTCCTTCCTTTGGAGGTCCATCTGCCTGAGCACAGGAGCCCTGCTTAGAGCTGGGGGGAGGGGGAGGGGGGCTTGGGACGCTGCTCTTCCCCCCCCTCCCCCGCCCATCTCCCTCCAAGAGGGGCCACTTTGCCCGAGGCACTGACCCTCTTTCCCTTCTCACCAGCACGGGGAGGAGGTGTCGCCAGCAGCCAGTGACCTGGCCATGGTGCTGACCCACGGCCTGAGCCTGGAGCACCAGAAGAGCAGCCGGGATAGCCTGCAGTTCTCCAGCGGCTACAGCACACAGAACACCACTCCGTCCTGCTCTGAGGACACCATTCCCTCTCAAGGTAGCAGGCCGGCACCTGGCTGGGCGGGTAGGGTGTATGGCCAGGCCTCTCCAAGCCCCTTCAGGCGATGGCAGATCCCTCATAGCCAGAAAACAGGGTCCTCCTCTGGAGCGGAAGCCCAGGAAGGCCAAGTGGCAGAAGCAGCTGCTCTCAGCCAGGCAGGACCTTCCTTGGCCTTCCAGGAGCCCCACATCACTTGGCGTGGCACACCTGCCCTCAGCAACCCCCGTTGCTGGCTGAAGGCCTCTCCCAGTTCTCCATTTCTCCCAACAGCGGAAAGAAGCTCCAGGCACTTGGGCGTCGTTGAAGTTAAATGTGCTCTGCGCTTTGACTTAGAAGGTTGCAGGCCAAGTCATGACGGCCTCGATGTGCCCCACCCCCACCCCATTATGTGCCTAGCCTTATGTAGCCACATGCGCTTGAGGCAGCTTTGTGCTGAGATGGATTCTGACTCAGGCCCGGCTGGCGAGGGGATGGCCTCCACCTGCTCTGCCTCAGTGACCAACTCCAGAGAGGCTCAAACTGCTTCTGTTAGCTTTGCCCACTGTACAAATGAACCACAAGGCAAGTGGCTCTGCCTACGCCCCTTCCCCCATGCCCCTAGGAATTAGGGGGGGGTCTCTGCCTGTGCCGCTCTCCCCTCCTCCTTGTTTTGCGCTGGAGCCAAGTTTTGGTCATGGCCCGTTTCTGCCAAGGCCGTCCTCTTATTCGTGGTCCTTTGCTGGTCCCTGCTGCTGATGTGTCCGCCTGTCCCTTCCTCAGGTTCAGAGTACGACTGCTATTCAGTGAACGGGGACATCGAGGGAGACAACCAGAATGAATTAGACAAATCCTCGACCATCCCTCGCAACAGCAATATTGCTCAAAATTACCGGCGGATGATCCAGACCAAGCGACCAGCTTCAACGGCCGGTCTGCCCATTGGCACCGCCTTGCCAACCGGGACGACGCCCGGTGTGGCTACCATCCGTCGCACCCCTTCCACCAAGCCCACAGTTCGCCGAACCGTCTCCAGCGCCGGTCCAATTCCCATCAGACCCCCCATCGTCCCTGTCAAGACCCCCACCGTGCCTGACTCGCCCAGTCATGCCAGCCCCCTCCGGATGGGCAGCGAGGAAAGTGTCTTCTACACCGATGATGCCTGCTCGCCGCATGGTCTGGACTTCACCAAAGCCTCCCCCAAGAGGCTGAGCCTGCCCAATGCCAGCTGGGGTGGCAATGCCCTGGAGGTCTCCGTGCATGTCGGGACCGGGAAGCCTTCCACAGAAGAGGAGCAGCAGCTGGCCGCCAACCGCCATAGCCTGGTGGAAAAGATTGGCGAACTGGTGGCCAGCGCTCACGCCCTGGGAGATGGCCAGTTCCCTTTCCCCACGGTGTTCTCGGACCCTGGTCTTGAGGAGCAGACCCCCATCCTCCCCCCGGCCGCTTCCAGCGAGCCCCCCGCTGAAGACATGCTGGTAGCCATCCGCCGTGGGGTGCGTCTTCGTCGAACCATCACCAATGATAGGTCAGCGCCACGGTTTTTGTGATCGCTCTGCTGAGCTGTTGACCCGAACTTGGCAAAGGACTGGGAAACGTAATGGAGGCTGGGAGAACTGCCAAAAGGCTGCCATGCCCTTCACGGACACCACCTGGTCAGGATCTGGGTTCAAAGGAGACTGAATGAAATGCCTTTATTAGACCACCACACCCAAGGCCCCGCTTATCGAAACCTGCTTTGGGACCTGTTTTCCACCTTGTCCCTTGCGCTCTTTCTCTCTGCCCTCATCCGCAGCCAGGTGGGAAAGCGGCACCTGCCTCCCGCCCAGCTTGGAGCAGCAGCAGAGGAACCCCCACCCAAAACAGACCCTCCTGTCCTGTTTTCTGGCTCTTCTCTGCATTCTCCTGCCCGGCAATTGGCTCCTCCAAAAGATTTGCAAGACGGAGGAGTCTAGCAATCCACCCCCTTCCTGAGATGTGGGCTGTGGGCCATACGGGGAGCAGGACCCCTTCCTGGGGGCTTCCTTGAGAAGAAGACTCTCCCTTCCAGTTGAGGGGGTGAGACTGTCTCAGCCGGGAGGGGCTTCCGTAAGAAGGGTTGCCTTCTTCCTTGCCCAGCCCAGGCGCCTCAAGCCTGGCTTGCGCTTCACAGAGCTTAGAGGCCTCCATGGGGCAGGACAGGTGGGCTTTTGACACATGATTTAGAGCACAGTTTGCATGGAGGCGCATGGGCACATTGACACCCCTGAGCCTTTCCTATGGCAGAATGCAAGAATGCCTATCAAGACAGATGGCGGAGGGTGGAGATCAGGCCAGGTTCAGACATGAGGAGGATTCTACCTCAAGTGGGTGTGGGCTTTGCAGCCCTTCCCTGAAGGCAGGAGGAGTTCTGGTGGGGGAGCAATGCCAGGGTGGGGCATCTTGAACACGGCACTTGCCTCAAACCATCTAAAGGCCTCAGTGTCTCCTGGATCGGGGGTGAGGGGGGGGGCTTTAAAGGTGGCTGATCTAAGGGGGCATCGGGGTAGCTGCCCTTGGGCAGGTTCCTCTCTTCTGGCCAAGCTCTTGACCGACTGAAGAAAAGGGGGGTCAGGAGATGCTCCTTTGGTTGATGCTTTCGGGGGGTCGTTTGAACCCAGCAAACACCCTCAGCTCTGCGACCACACGATTGGTCTGGCAGATCACCGTGACTGATGCCTTTGGTTTGACATGCTGGTGCTGGCTGGGCTCACATGCTCCACGAAGCCAGTCTTGGTTGGCTTGATTTCAGCTCCGCATGATGTGCAAGGCCATCCACGTGGCCAGATTCCCTTGGAAGAGCACAAGCGGTGCTGAAGCTGCACCAGGAATGGCCGAAACACACAAGGAAGTCCTGAAGAGGGACTTTCGGAAGCGGCTCCTCTCTCTCCTTTTGGGAACCCACGGCAATTCCATGGTGGGATGGTTCTGACGACTAAGGACAGAAGCTGTGAGGTGAGCCGTGGCCCAGACTTGCTTAGCTTCGCTCTGGTGGCCTGAGCCACTGACCTGCCTTGGAGTGAGAGCCCAGGTGCTTCATCACACCGCTCCTTGGCCTCTGCCTGCGCCGGGGCTGCTTCCGTGGCAGCTATGCCTCCTGCCTGTCTTGCCTCGCTCACTTCTCCACCTTGTTCATTCTTGTCTCACCAAACTCTTCTGCACTTTCATCCCCAGCATGTTTTGCGTCAGAGGCTTGCCTCATTGTATAGTCCTGACCAGTTTTGTTTACAGACGTGGAATCTGCCTATTTTTGTAGTTGGCAGGAAGGTTTTTAATGGGGATGTTGGCAGAAATGATGCCATGATGCATTTATTCACAGCTGGCACGCGATGCAGCTTTTCCATGGTCTGGATCCAGCTCTAAAGAGACGTGAAGGTGCTGCTTCTCCCCAATTCTAATATGGTGATCTTCACTTCTCTCCGAAACTAGAAATTAGTCTCTGTTGGCAAAAGGAAAGTGATGGTGGGAAAGAGAAGAGGGTTTTGAAAAGTTGCAGTGTGGAAGAGCAGAAAGTAAACGGCATAGAGACATGAAGACGACTTGAGAAACCTGCCTTGCCTTGGGCAGAGCTAGGAAGGGGAACTGTTGCAACCCTGCTCATCCTCCCGTTTTTAGTTGGCAGAGATATTTGACGCTGGGCTTGGCATGTCTGGTACATGTGGCATCCAGAGGTGCACATGTGGCACATGAGAATGAAGCAGAGAAAGCAACATTGAAACTGGGGGGAAAAGTATATTTAGGAAACTTGAATTATTTCCAAGAGGCACACATGTAGGGTAGGTTTTAGGGCACCGATTTTCCCAACCTGGTGTTGGGACTTCCAGTTTACACCTCTGGAGAACATGAAGTCCGACAAGGCCCTGTTCCGAGGGACAAAGAGCTTAGGGTACGAGAGGTTCTGCAGTGGGCTCAGAAGGGCTGGGGGCTTCCTTGGCAATGGAGAGGCAGCCTGCCCCCCCCACCCCGAAGGCCTTTTGAGGGGGCAGCATGGTGGCTCCAGCATCCCAAGAGGAAGGCCTCACTTGTACATAGCCCTTTCCTCCCCACCCAGTTCTACCCGTGTCTCTGTGTGCCACATCATTGTAGGCCCCTCACTCTTCGGCTCCTGTGATAACTTTCGTTTTAACACGCCAGCCTTCCTGTGATTCCCACCCCCCTCAAACGTGACTATGTGAGATTGTTGCTTTTTGCTTTTCCAATTTGTTTGTACAATAAGAAACAAACCTAAAATGTCTTTCAGCTGATGTAACTGTCCTGGTGCTGTTAACTTGTTCTTCCTTCCCATCCCATAATTTATTTTCCTTCTAGCAGTCCGAGCTTACATACGCCCTTCCTTCCAATTTAGTTATGTGATTTTTTTTCATTCAAAATAACCACCATTACAGGTAACAAATGCACTGTGAAGATTTCAGTATTAATAAAAGTTGTACTGTAATTAATGCAAATCGTTCCTCCTCTTTATTCTGCCCTTTTCGATTGAAAAAAAACAACTGTAGAAGTTTAGCAGTTTCTTCAACCCCACAATTACCAAGCCAAACTCATCTCTACATTTTGTAGCATGGCAGATTCTTAGCTGGCTGGACAGAACTGCCTTCAACCCCAATTGATACGGGGCATTGGATGATCGTGGCTGGGCCTACATCCAGAATGGGAGCCTTGCGGTGAAGTTGCCCAGAGCATTTGTGTGACAAATGGGAGGGCATATAGTCCAGTTTGTTGGCCAGGCCATCTCTGCAGCATGGATCATTTCAGGACCCGTTGTGCTGTTGCACTGGGCTGAAGCTACCTAATCTGGAATAGATCTATATCTATTTCCTGACTGAGCAGGGGGCTGGACTAGATGATCTCCAAGGTCCCTTCCAACTGTTATGATGTGTTAAATACATGTGATTTTATATCATATAAATACATGTGAGTTTGTATCATCAGAAAAAAAAAACCAAGCTTTTGTAGATTTGAGAAATGAGAATTGCCCCCCTTTCCATAGCTCAAGAGGCAGTTCTAAGGTTTGTAGGCATGTGAAACTCATAAGCAATTTAGCCCAAGGAATCCCTTCAGTCCTCAGGCCCCTTTTGGTTCTGAGACTACACAAATTTCATTCTCTCCCAGCTATTTCTGCAATTCTAACCACTGAATTCCAGGTATGCCGATGGCCTGAAGAACTGCCTTCCTCTCCCAACAACTGCTGGGGGGTGGGGGAGGCAGCCCTGCTGGCAAACCTACATCTTTGGCTGCTGGGGAGAGTGGGATGACACCTCCTCCTGGTGCTCTACTCGACTTTCACAACTGGGGTCAGAGTTTTGTCAAGCAGAAATTGGACTCCGGAAGATTTTCCTATCTTCCACACAATGGTAGTTCCAGTTGAGGACCTTGTACTAGAATAGACTGTTCATCTCTCTTCTGCCTTACAACCTGCACAAGCACTTTGCAATCTGTATACTTAACAGAGTAGCTTGAAAACCAAAGGATTAAGGTGTTGGGCTGAAAGCCAAATGATGCATGGCAGCAGGAAAAGGCATAGCTGCTTTAAAGATACCCCTGCCTTCCTTCATTTTTCAATCTGAAGCACTGCACAACTCTTACTTTTTAAAGGAAAATGTCTAGGAGCGACCCATCCACTGAGCCAACACACATCACAGGAGTAATTTGGCTTAGTCCATTAGCAGAAATGAAGGTCTGAAGAAACCCTGTGTCGTTTCAGGTCAAAGCATGGATTTGGACATCAAAATGTTTCTTAGCTATGAAAAAAAAAAGGTTGAAATGCAACTCATCCCCACAAAGGATGGATCGCCCCACTAGCTCTGCCAGAGAAGGATTTCCTTAAATCCATGCACACACACACTCTAGCAAGCTCCTTTTTTAATTCTTTTAAGATTGTAATCACCATCTCTCTAATGGGCAAAATACTAATTTGATGCAAAACTATTTACAACATAAAAGTTAAAAACAATAGAAATAGTAGGATGGCCAAGTAGACAAAACTTCGAAAATGCTGGTTAGGAAGAAAATCAGTTCTAGCTTCCAGCCCCCAACACTCCCCGTGGCTTTGTCAGAATGGAGACGAGAACTGCAGGGTGAGACCAACCAGGTCAGCTCACTGTGAAGCTACCGATGGCCCACTGGCCGGGATTTGGGGTGGGGGTTGTGGCATGGCAGCTCTGCTGAAATGGGCTTATGAGACATTATCCCTCGGAGGGCTCAACCTCTGTGGGCTGACCTACTGAGCTCCAGGACAGAAACCGGGTCAAACAAAACAGGACAGGACAGGGAAGTTTCTTTCAACCCATCTCCAAAATAAGTCCTTATCAAGTCCTCCAACAGCTCAGCTCAGAAAGCATAGCGCGTACGGATGTCCTCTAGTTTCTTTGAGACTTCTGGAGGAGTCCGGTCCAGTTCTTCAGACACGTTCTTCTGCTTGTTGGGCTCCATGGAGTTGAATTGCTCACAGAGGTCCCCATCAATAACATTCTAACAGGAAAAAGAAGGCGGAGATTCCAGTCCCAAGGAACAGCACATACAAGAACAGTTGCAGCAAAAAGTCAATTAACAACCAGGATGGGCACAACAGATGCCCAATTATTGGATTACCCAACAGCCAATTTTTAAACTGAACTCACTTAAAAAAAATGAATCCAATCTATTTCAAAAGAAAAGCTGTCACTAGACCGCGGTCCCAACTCTCCCGGCCACCAGGGGCCTCGTGATCAGGGCTGAGCCCACCCAAAATCTCGCTGTTGTTGTCACAAGGGATCTGCATGGCTGGCCCAGGAATAGCTCCCCCCTCTGGGAAGGCAAGACAAGGCATCTAAGCCAGAGGGCCCAACCCTGGGTGGTCCAGGCGGAGAAGCTCCCGGAGACGAGGGTGAAAAAAAATCCTGCCTGCTCCCTGGAGCACACGAAGCCCCTCAAACAGGACGAGGAACAGAGGCGCCTCCTTTCTCTGCTGCCTCATCGGGCATCTCTTGACCACCCAAACCTCCCGGGGCAGGGAGGAAAGTTATTTATTTGCTTCCTCTAAACATTTTTAAATTGACAAGGTCAAGTGCACAATTAAAACATTCCATTTCATCCAATTGTCTTAAAATATATTGAAGATTGTGCAATATTCACTGCCAGGTTACAAAGGATGGGAGGGGGGCTCTCCAGGAGGAGGCCACTATCTGAGAGGCTCTGCCCCCCCTTTCAGGACCCGCCTGTCGGTCCCAAGGAAGGGCAGGGAACCAGAAGGGATGGCACTGAATGCTGCCCAGGAAGCCACAGTTGCTTCAAGCTGCCTTGGAGCAACAGCTCTGTCCGAAGAGGCAGAGCAACAACTGTCCTGCAGCAGAGGGCCCCAGCCGCCCTTCAAGGGAGACGAGGCGGAAGAGGCCGGACCTACCTTCACGGGGAAGTAATAGGAGCGGAAGCTGAGGTGGTCTCGACCACAGAGAGGCGGGTGCTCAGAGCGGAGGTGCATCTCAACATGTTGGAAGAAATCGTGATCCTGAAAGAATCAGAGGATGGTCAAGGAGAACAACATCATTGGACAACCAGCATAGAGAGTACAGCTGCTCAACTCTGCAAGAAGGAAGTAGCTGACCACTGGCTGACCGATACTGGATGCAAGGGCAACACAGCTGCGGCAGCTGCCGTCCCCACTGACTGCCAGGGTTGATTCACAGATCTGGCTGGCTGGGGAGTGTCCTCTTCTCCCTTCCCTACTCCAAGTGTATCCTCCCCAAAGCTTTGTGTTCACTGGAAACAGACAACCATTACAGATAGGAGTGTACCATTTTTGGGTCAAGCTGACCAAACAAGCTGAAGCTTCAACTGTAGAATGGTTGATAGAACGGCTACATCTTCATCCTCCCTTTGGTCACGTCTCTACATGGCCCAGTCTGTATGTGATCCCCCTTGGGGTCATGTACAGACTGGACTCAGGCATCCCTGTGATTTATGCTTAGTGTGAGGGACTGCAAGAGGCCTGAGCAACCTCAGGGGGTCACTCTGGATGGACCCCAACTTTCACTTTGAGTTTTATGTGCGTATTTGTAAGTCAAGATGGCTGGAACATGTGTCAGCAAAAACTCCATGGTGCTACTGATGTGCCATTTCTTCCAGTAACATTGGCCCTGACGGGAGTCCAACAACAGCCAACCTTAAGAGTTTACAATGGAGTAACCCACCTGCAGAGGAGTGGAGGGCTCCTGAACAAGGCTCAACTCCCAGTCTTTTGTAACTCAAGCGCCTGTCTGGATGGCATCATCAACCCAGAGGACAAAGAGAACAAAACCTTCCAGCACAGCATTCCTCTCACCTCGTGCGATGTAAACGGGACCAGGATGCCGATGCCTCCAGACAACGTTGTATAAACAAGCGACTCGGAACCTCCCGGGATCAGGGTCGTCTTCTGCAGAGACAGCACCGTTTCTCCTACGTGGTAGTTCATGATCACCTCGGCCTGGAAGTCAGATTGGTGGGGATTCAGACAATGCTCCTCCTCCTCCCCCCTTGCCCTCCCTGCCCTTCGGGGAGATGAGTCCTTCCAGGTAAGGAACAAGGCTTTATGAGTCCACTCGTGACTAAGCACGTGCCTAAGAGTGAGGCTGGGTGAGGGAGAAGTGCCCAAGACACCTCGGTTCCCCAGGAAACCAAAAGTAGGAAAAAAAGTTCTGGTCATGTCAGTGTAAAAACAGGAAGGAAGGGCCAGGTGGGTCTGCTGCTAAAAGATGTTGAGGCCAAAAGATGTAGCACTGAGGGGAACTCTGGTTAAAGTGAGCTGACCTGAACAACTGAAGGATGGAGAGGCAACTGAAGGGAAGTGCCAGAGTCTCCAGAGCAGCTCTACTAAGAATCTTGAAAGATCCTCCATGTTATGCTAGAGCCCCTTGAGAAACCAGAGGGAAAACATAAAGCCGCAGAATCCAATATTCAGAAATTTGGGGGGGGGGGGGGGGGGGGGGGGGAGAAGTGATCACCTAGACTCACTACAGACTCTTCAACTTGGTGCTGATAGCCAGCAAAATTTTGGAGCAGATTATTAAGCTGTAACTTTGTGATTGTTTAGAAAGAACAATGACTCTGGCATTCTGGGTAAGGCATATTAAGCCATCTCTGTTTTTTATACAACTGACAGTTCACACAGAAACACACATCAGAAAAATTATGCATAGAGTTGGCTGAACACATTTATCCAGCAAGTAAGTTGAAGAATGATTTGGGTGTGGCATTAATGCTGTGCCACTGAACACATTTATGAATGACATGGAGAAGGAATTACAAAGTTATCAAATCTGCATACAGAATAAAGACAGAAACATCCTAGAACTATCCTGACGTAGACGGATGTTGACAAGGTAGCATGGCAAGGATACCCCAAAGGGCTCTATGCCAGCCCCAAAGAGGCCGAGGAAAGGGAGCCCAAAGCAAGAGAAAGCTGGGTTGGCAGACCATTAAATCTGGTGGAGCCACCTACAGGTTCAGAACAGGGATTGCATCCCTTTCACCTTCCTTATTTGACCTGTATCTTGGATGTATTTATGGGGAAGACAGAACCTGGAGAATCAAAACCTGGAGTAATGACTCCAGAATCCAGAAGGAACAACCAGAAACTTTCATATGCTGATGACACAACTCTCCTGCTAAGAAACAACCAAATCAAACACAAAACATCTGATCAAAAAAAATAAAGAAAAAGACAATTTGACCTCTTCCTGGATGTCAAAAAGAGTTATGAAGACAGCAAAGGTGTGTGAGAATTTATCTTCCTAGGATCGCAGATTGATCAAAGGGGTGAAGGCAGCCCAGAAATAAATTATTGGACTGCACGGCAAGGAGGAGCATGAATCGAGCATGGAAAAGCCAGGGCCGCCTCAGTCTAGCGACTAAGAGCAGAGGTTTGTCTGCACTACTGCATTTCCTGAAGCTGCAAAAGGCAGACTGTGGAAAGACGAGGCAGGAGGAAACCAGCTCATTCAAGCGGCTGTGCGGAGAAGGGACCCGCACACTCCACAGACAGCAAAAGGGTATAAAACCAGAGCCCTGGAAGGCCCAAATCACAAAATTCCACCTTACTTGTTTCAACTCTGTCATGGGAACAAAGTCTCTGGGAAAGAGAGTTTTGCTCAGAACGGTTAAGAATTATGCTTTGCCAAAAGACACTGTTTTCATGCTTTTCCATTATGTTTTTTTATTGTGTGGTAAGCCACCTAGTTACTTGGACAGTGAAATGGATGGCAGGTAAGTTTAACAACTAAATAAATTTAGTGAATTAAAAAAAAAACCAGACCTAACTGGAAGTTGCTTTTGCTCTGGTGCATAAAAACCATGAATTCAACGAGAATGGATTTTTCAATCATTAGTTTTCTCAGGTTTTTAACGTAGTAATTTGTTTTTTCATCGCAGATGAGAGCAGATTACAAATAATGGGGGAAAGGGAGGGTTCTAGTAGAGCCGCCCTAGGAAGGACCTACTTTTTGGGATGCGCCATTGAGAAGGCCCCTGTCCCACAAAGCCTTGTTGCCAGTTGGGTCCTCATCGACCTCGTCGTTCGTGTTGGGCGGCAGCCTCACCTGCAGGGGAAGGAAAGGGTTAGGGTTAGGGAAGGGAGCCCCTCCTCCACGCCCCAGGAGGTGGCTGGGAGCCTTCAATCAGGGGAGCCAAGAGCCACGGGAGCTTTTGACCTGCGGGCCAGTCGGGCAAGTCC